CTCACTCGAATATAACGACCCATCCAACCCTGATCCTTGTCTTCATCGATGCTCGACATCAAAACCTTCGATGCCCGATGATGAAGTCTGATTATTCCTTGAATGATCTGAGGCCGATATAGTTGTATGAGGTGGTTCAGAGAAAAATCCCAACCCCCCGGCTTTGATAGAGAAGAAGCGCAATAAGATCACTATATGCCATAAAGAAGGGTGAATTTGACCAAGGGTGACTTGATACATTTTGCAGAAATCAATAATCACCGGGTCGACGGGTCCTAGTATAAAGGGATAAGTATAAACACTTAAAAAATCCTCCACGTGAGTGGTAACACTCTCATCGGAAGATGGAATTTGCAACACGACCTCGGAACCCCAGTTGCAGTCTTTTCTGATGGCCTCGAGGTGATCCTCCATTATAGAGCACGTATACATCGATACGTGTTCACATCGACCCAGAACGGAGGAAGGATTCTCTACCTTAAAATCGGTCTTCAAAGTGCACGGGCCAGGAACATAGTCATGAACTGACGGCTCCACCGGCGCCTTATCATCAGACGGCCGTGAAGAAGAAGCTTTCTCCTTCTAAGATATAATTTTGGAAGTTTTCGCCATTGATATGAAAGGGAAGAGTGCAAAGGAAGGTGAAGAAATAGACAGCACCAAAATTCTGGTATGGGCGGCCCCGTAGCAGAGAAATAAAGAGGATAAATAAGAAAGTTTTGAAGAAGAGAAGGCGCAAAAGTGGTAAAGGTTGTATGGAAAGACTATTTATAGACTAAGGCATGATGGTTCGGTATTAGCGGTGGCCGACCACCGTCTGACACACATTAAATGCTTCGGTAAAATTGAGCCGATGGGACAGCTATCACATACGTCAAGATCGGGTTCGATAGAAACGTCAACATAAATTTGATCGAGCCGCAGGGAAATCATATCGTTCCTCGCCACATCCTTTCCGAGAAACGAGGGGACTATCTGTGTACGGTCAAAACCGATTCTCAGTCATAAAGACCGGTCTAGACAATGACGTTTCAATCGAAGGGTATCCACATGACAAGCTCGGACGAATTCCGAAGTAGGGACGTCGTGCTTCGAGCTATAAGACCGATCAACGGCAAAACTCGATATCATTATCGAGCCCGTGTCTGAATCGGACTACGGGGCAACACCGATTGACACAGGCCCCGAATATCGATGCCCCAAGGCAGAACCGAGCTCGAACCAAGACTGGGGGTTCGATCTAACACCGAGCTCGAGCCAGTGCCGAGCTCGCAGACAAGAGCCGTTACAACCGCACCGAGGGAGAGAATCTTGGCGAGAATCAAGGAAGAGACAAACCATCACGGGTCCTCCACTATATGTATTATTTTATTATGTTGTTATAGATAAAGCAGTAACCTTCTACTATAAAAAGGGGGATAGACTGCAATAGACGCAGGTCCTCGAAGATATATTAAGATTTCACTGTGCTTGTTTTTCTAACTCATTTCAGTCTTCCCGTCCATCATTCTCATTTTATAGCAAAAATACCTGTATTGTCATTTTGTATCAAAGGAATTTGCATACCCTTAGAACCATAACTAAATTTAACGTTATCCGATTTTTCGGGTAAACAAAATTATTCGACATTAATTAGTTCAGTCTGCTGAAGAGTATTAAACTGACAAAAAGAAAACCGAACAATTCACAAAGACCAGAATTAATTCAGCGAAAAAACATAATGTAAGAAATTACTCTGATGAAATATTTTCCTTAACATCTGATAAGTTTATTACAAAAAAGGGCTGTAGTGTACTAATGTTCTTTGTCAAAAGCATCAGATCACATTATTGCAAAGGAAAAACGTAATTACAGCATCTGAACACCAATTTAGATGAAGATTCTTGATTTCTGGTTCCCTATGGCCTAGACAATATAATTTTCTGATCATAAGTGTTTAAAATGGTGATGAGGGTCAGGTCCTCCTGGACTCACTCGCTCGGGCCAATTGCGGGTGCTATATTTCGTCTTCTCTCGTTCGAATTGTTCCTCCAATGCTTCCCTGGCAATCCTAATAGAAATGAAGGAGCGAGCCTCGATTAATGCAGATGAAAACAAGATCAGCAAGATAATGCAGGATAAATACTTGAAGCTAGACATTGTATTTATCATTCAAGTATTTCAGAAGAGCTAGAGAGTTTCATTATATACATTTCTTTCTGTGACTACTCGTAATGTTCAATATATTTTTATATGGATGTAAAGCTTTAATAAGAGGAAACTGATTCAAGAAGCATAATCTTTTTGTCTTTACTTGAAAAATATTCTTTTAACGTCCTAATTTGCAGTAATGTTTAGGGATGAGGTCTGCACAGTCCATTTATGAATTTAAGTTAATTTTTCCCAAGAGATACGTAAGACAAAAGTCAACCCTCTTTGTGTCAGCCTACTATGTTAAAAGGTTTTTAAGTTTGCTTTTTTAGCTAATGCATAAGGATTTACTTAGGACCACATCTAGGAAATGACATGGACAGATGGTGGAGGATGACTTTGATAAAAATAGTGAATTTACAGCATGGAATTCATCTAATTTGAATAGATGCTGATGGAGATGCAAACTCATTGGCTGAACGGCTCATTCTGATAAACATGAAACTCATACAGTGAGCCAAGCAAAATTAAGAGAAGAGCTTTTATAAATGCAAAAGCCAATAGGAACTGACATGCAAACAGCATCTCAGCATCAGCAATAAAGTTGTGGATCAGAACAAAGTTTTAACATTTTTGTACAACATTATCCAAATTAAGTATTCTAATAATCTTTCTGTCAAAATTTAAGAGACTAGTTTCTTTACAATTTCATGTCCAGAAAATTGCGAAGTCCAACTGCGATGAAGTGTGCAAATTCAAGATTGACATGCCAATACTTAAATGCAGCCAAAATTACTATCTGAGCAGACAGTAGCCTTCTTCAATTAGCATAGATGACTTGTAACAATAATAAGATTTTGAAAATTATTTACCGTCATTCACTCATCATATTACACTGCAGTTACATGGTTGAGACCTCATAGACTATTCTTTCAACTTCTACTTTAAATACTCTTTTTTAGTTAGATATTTTCTAAATGCATATGCAATATTGATGGAGCTTCTAACGACAACCCTGGATTATGTGAATACTGGTTCATTATCAGAAATAGCAATAAATATTTACTTGATACGTGCTTCAACAAGATTACTTTGCTAGCTTTAAACCAACTTTCCAAAGGATTCGTTCATTTATAATGCTGCACAATGGTGTGGACAAAATTATTATTGACACTGATAGGATGCAAAACGAAAACTCTTCAATAGGAAATGAGTACCTCCATACCCATTGATGAATTTGACTGAACAAATATCGGGACTCATTAGGCATATCATGGTGCAGATTCAACATATCTGCAGGGAGGCAACTCAATGGCTGATTATCTGGAGACATATATATGCAGTTAACATGTTTTCACGGGATTTTGATAACTTCATGCAACTTCACTCTCATGCTTGTAAATTGCTCAATATGACAAGCCTGGTATCCCTAATTTTAGGTCTTCAATTAGGTAAATAAGTTTTCAGAGTATTTGTTTTACTTCTATACAACTTTTAGTTCCATCACTTATATTGCAATATAGCCTGAGGAGTATAAAGCTAAGACTTATAGTTGTTGTTTTCTTTAATCTTCTCCACTCTGGTTTCCTTCATCTCTGAAAAGGGGAAACCTCTTTCAATCTTCTCTACTCTTGTTTCCTTCATCTTTGCAAAGGGAAACCTCTTTCTCCTGCAACAAGATTTGGTTAGGCATGATCCAATGTCCTGCCTTATTCTGTAGCACCTATTACCTCTTATTTTCTGTAATGAAATGTCCCATCAAGAGCTCCACGATGTGAGTAGATGGTTCCCTAAAGATAAAATTACAGCAATTTATACTTAATTGATAGTTTGACAAAGATTCTAGAGTTTGCTTTCATTTCACTTTTAAAATTTCATAAAGATTTATGCCCAGAAAACACAGTTATCTCCTTCCCCAATAGTTTAACCTGTTCCTTGTGTTTACTCAACTTTCAGCTCATACGGTTATGAATTTATTCAGATCGTGGGCTGACTACCCATATTTGGATATGAATAACATATGTATTCACAATAGCCACAGAAATCTATTATCTCATTTAGTGCTGCTTTGTAAGGTTTCCAAAGGGGGAGAATCTGTAAAGAAGCACAAAATGATAGTGCAAAAAGCATACTAAGATGTTCAATATCTTCAGGTGATCTTAGTATAAGCAAACTGCCAATATCTGTACAAGGACAGATTCTAAGATGCAGACGTTTAATGAGATACTTGAAATCTAGTAAAAGTTCGACTTCTCCTTCAGTCAGAGATCTGCCTACAAGAGTAAACTAGCTCAAACATCACTTTAGTTTGTTATTAGCACCAAAGTCATCTTTTGCACTTGTGAACTCAATGCTTCTTCACCCGGAGGAATGCAATGAAAAGAGATTCTTTGTGATTGCATTAGAACAGTCAGCAGCAAGCTCTGCCTGAAACTACATGGCGTTAGTAGTTATACGTATTTAACTACTCAAGTCTTTTCTGCAGCATGCACACACAGAGAGGAAAAAAATACCTCTATGTTGTCTTAGTGTGATATTGCTAGTTGGTACCTCATCATCAACTCAGCAGCGAATTTCTGAACCCTGTGTATGTTCTAGGTGGTGAAGGCATACATGACCATTTTTAGACTAAAGAATTGAAAATTGTGAAAAGGAAAGGGTGCGACAGTAGTTCAGTAATAAGGATATCTTCTCTTCATAAATGGGATGGTTAAGCAGTAGCAGCTTATTGTTGTTCACAACAGCACGAACTAATAGTTCTTTTGCCTCCTCCTGTTTTTTCCTGAGCATGCTGCACATCTGGAAACATAATAAACTATGATCAGGCATGACACTTTCTCACCTGCCTCGTCTAGGCCTCAACAAAGAACAAATTGTTGCTTGCTCGGAGAAAAAGGAGCTAAGTTGAAGCATATAGAATTATTGCACCACGTAACCTTTGAATTTTCAATTATCGGCTTGAAAGCATTAATAGAGGGTGGTCTAGGACACTAATTAATGCATCCACCAATTGGCTTTGGGGACCCCATTTCAATTCCGCTTATATAAGAGACATATAAAACTTCCACCAACAAAATCAGAATAACCATCTAAACTGGCTTCTTATTCTCGTGTCCATTTTTTCTTTGTCAAACTCATGGATGCCTCTTGAAATTCCGAGGTGCAGTTAAAAAGAGCAAACCTGCTTTCGAGCATACTGAAGGTTTCACTAAAGTGGAACTCTAGCTAAGATTGATACAATGAAAAGGATGTTAAGAAAATTCAGATCCAATTACATAAACCTAAAAGGAACTACTGTAACAATTTCTAGGACCAAAGAGGACATGTCTAAGTTACCAACAGAAAACAAGTTGAGAGAGAATGCAGAATTTTTTTCATTGTTCGTGTAGCCAATATAAAATGGGAAGGTGGTATATCTCATGCAATTCTAAATCTCAGAGAAACTTAAAATATGAAGTGTATGTTGTCTGGTTACTTGTTTAGAGTAAAATGTACTGGCTGAACAAGCATTTACCTTTTCCACAATTTATAGCAGTGATTTACTTCCTGAGTTCTCATAATATCTGAAAAGATACTACACCAGCAAGCAGAAAAAAAGGAAGAACCAAAAATAGCGAGGAAGCACTCCTTACATCATCGAGATCCTTTGAAAGAGCCTCAGCCTTCTTTATGTTGTCATCATCTTCTATCGCAAAAGGGCGTCCTAACTCTTTGATGTTCATCTCCATAGGAACATCACGTGAAGAGATTTGGCAATTTTCATAATCACTGGTCTTATTACCATTTCCAGAATGCTCATGATCATTAACCTATCAATGAAGAATGATGGAGAACTTTAAAAGGTTGACATGCTTCTACGTTCCTATGTATGGGAGACACTTCGGAAACTATATCAAACATCTATATCTATTCCTTTTCTATCAATCACCTGTTTGTGCCATATCCTTTCAGTACCTTCAGAGGAGCCCCTGTAGAATTTTGAGGAGTAATCACACCTAAGTTCAGCATTGATGAAGAAAAGATGTGCATTATCTAATTTTACAGAAGAACCTGCTTTCACTGGGTGAGTGCGAAAGACGCTTTGACGGAAGTAGGATCGTCAAATCCAAATTCGTCTGCATTAGGTGCTATCACAAGTGACAAAGATGTCCTATACTTGTTATGTGACTATGCAGAAAAGGTATTCTTTTGCAAGGGAAAGCGGTGGAGAAAAGGAAAACAGACCTCTGGTACTTTCCTCTTGATGGACAAGTTAGCAGGCATTTGCTTCAGCCTCTCTGTACAATTATTGTCTTTGGCTTGTAAAATAGCTTTAAAACCACCATGCTGGTCCACATTTTTTGAGGATTTCATATTTTTTTGCAACACTGTCCGAGATGTCTCGGGCTTTGAACCAAGTTTTCTGCATTAGGAGCATGTGATTGATTGAAAGATTTCAGAAAAATGAGATCTCCATATTTGCAGAATTTGACAGGTAGCAGAAAGAAAATCAGTATGGTACGCTGAAATTTTCAGGCTGGATGTGTCTAGAGTCCTCCTGGCAGCTTTAATAGGCAGTGTTTTGTCTCCTTCGTTGAGAGTATTCTTTGCAGTTGGAATAGGAGTTATGTTTCTTGTTACAGCAATGCTGCATGGGGTGGACGTAGTTGTCTGTTGACTTTTGCTAGGAGGACTTATCCGGGAACTGAAGGAAAACATGCCAACGATTTTTTTTTTGGTTAGAAAATATTTCTATTTTCATTCATCAAGAGAGGCACTTAACTGGATTTAAGCACAATATCAGAGCGTTGTGTCTATGGCTTAGAAATATGGCATTATCATTCATAACATATAAGATGATTTCTTAATCTACTTAGAATGCCAAACAATATCTTATATAACTAATAGTTTTGGGTGAACTGATCTCCATATACAACAAACATGACTAGTTTAAGAGAAAAAGTTCAAACAAGTAAATCAGATAAATATGTGAAATTCTTTTAGGTGCGGGCATCCAAACAGAAACGATACTGCAAAAGAAACCAAGAAACAAGATCAGCTAAAGTAGTCCATGCATGCTAAGAAAAGTTTTCTATACATCTCAAGCATTTTACATGGTGAATTCAATGGCATAATCTGTTGGAAACATCAATCTGATGGGCGAGATGGCGAGACCTGAAAGTAAAAAGATCTTTACTGCTTGCTTTGCTTTTCTCAGGAACAGATTTTCCTAGTTTTGGTTTTTGTTCATTTGGCCTCAAAGAACCAATCAACGCTCTTATGTTTTCCTCACCATCCAACTGGGAGTCCTTCCTAAAGTATTTGGGTTATCAACAACAAATGTTAGAATTCTTGCATTTACCATGAAATTACAATCAGGTAAAGTAAACGGAAGCTTGAAAATTTAAGCATGATACAAATGTAAGTTACTAAAACTTACATAGTAATGCCTAAAACTTGGTGGCTCTCCTGACTTCCTGTCTGAAGAGGGTTAATCATTGGCAGTAATCCAGAGTCTGTGGGGAAACCAGCTTTGCTCCCAGTTTCATCATCTTTGTTATCTTGAGATCTGTATTAAATAGTATCATATAAACTGTCTAAAAAAAATTTCTAGTTTACACCATTGGCTTACATTATTTCATCTGAAGGACTCTGTGTTATGGAGCCAACTCTCTTGTTACCAAATTCAGAAAGTTTTGTCTCAGTCAATGATGTTGTCTTCTGCATCTGAGCTGCAGGTTTAATTGATGGCATAAAAAACTTTGACCTGATGACACCAGTGTCTCTTCTTTTCTCTGCTGTCAAATCTTCAGCTACTATTCCACTGCGACAATTTCAGAAAAAGCAAGTGCACCACAATTTCATAATATGCAGGACAGAGACTTATTTTACACTGTTCTCTACGAAAGCTAAGCTTTGCAGTTTCCAAGTTAGACATCATGGACAGTAATGCTGAATGAACAGAAGGGAGATGGTCCATATTGACCTACTTGCTTAATGAGGATGCAGAAAGCTCAGAAGTTGGGCTCTGAATCTCGTTACCGACTTTCACGTCTTGCATTTTGTCTTCTGTAGCATTTGCAATGTACATACTATTGGAATGTGTCTGAGTCCTGTCCTTATTGGTCTCCAAAACATGCTTATCGCTTTCAAGGATGCTCTTTTCACTAGCATTGTTCATTGATGTTGCAACACCCTCCAAAGATGAACTTTCTAAAACTGTCTTATCATAGTTTTTGTCTGAGTCCAAAAGCACTTTTTTGTTTACGTCTGTTCCTACACCAAAGAAAGTAACATCCGCAGCCGAATTAACATGTTGCTGTAAACCAGAAGAAGTATCACTTCTTGATTCACTCCGTGATATCAAAGAAGTTCCCTCTACTTGGCAAACTGCTTCTTGAGTGCTGGTGGATATTTTTTCCTGCAACGAAATTTTTGCTTTCTCCAGTGCAACTTCACTGCTAACTGATTGCAACTTTGAAGTGTCGTTATTGCCCATAGTATGGTTTGAAGGTAAACTATGTTTTGTGGTGTCATGATTTTTATCTATGTCAATATGAGAATCAATAGTCAAATTCATCCCAGCCTCTGATGCACCGTGTTTCTGGGCTGTCCTGTCCTCTAAAGAACCAAGGTCTTCATTCAGATGACTTCCAGAGCCTTCATTACCACTTTTCTTAGAAGAACATTCCTTTTCTTGGTTGTTCGCCTTTTCTCCAGTCTCCCCGCTTGACCCAAAACTGAAGCTATCCTTTTCTTGGTTGTTCTTCGCCTTTTCTCTACTCTCCTGGCTTGACCCAAAACCGAAATTATCCAACCTGGACCAAACACAGTTGGGGATACTCCACTTAGTTACAGTGGAACAATTGAGTCATGTTGATATTTGATGAACTGAAGCTAGACAAATATGGAGCACAGTAAAAGGAGCATAAAAGTAGTACATACTCAAAATCAAATGAAAAATTGAAGTCATCTCCCTTCTTTTTGTTGACAGCACCTTTGGATTCTTTTTTTGATGTCTCCCTTGATTTTCGATCCTTTTTACATGGGGAAGAGATATCAAGATCTGGCATGTCAATGTTGAAGGATGATATCTTGCCAAAATCACTATCAAGATTGAAATCCATATCCCTAAAGAAAGTTCAATGCCAGAATTAGGTAATGTGTCATTCCTTCTCTATTCAACATTCTATAGCTTGTCCAGAATCAAGTCGCGAAAATTGTTTGTCACAAAGATACTGCAAATTTTTACAGAGAGTAATACCGTAAAAGAGAGACAGAGAGACTTGCAAGTTAATGACAGATACCTTAGATCCAAGTACCAACAAAAAAGTAATAGACGAAATAAATGAAAATAATAAATGCGAGTATTCTGATGCAGTAGCTTAACAAAATTAATTAATTACATAATCAGAAATAACAACACAAGGCTATGCAGACGTTACTCTTTGTCAAAGTTGAATGTCTTTTTCTTATTTTTGGATATAGGCCCAAAGTCGAAATCCATTGCATCATTTCCCATAGACATCGATTTCAACGACTTAAGAAAGTCATCTCCAATATCCAGATCTGTCACAACATAACGTAAATAGTAATTATCCATGTGGATTAAAAATTCCAATATCTGCAGTACTCGAGATGTATAAAGAAAGGCACAGATAAACATAAACTCATTGAGAATTATCTGCAACGAAGAATGTATCTCTATTTACTTTGTTCCCCCACTATGTATATTATTGGACATTTTGCACGTTACAATCCATTAAGCTGCCATACTTCAATGTAGCATTCCTATTTTAAAGTCTGGCGTCATATACTGTTGATCCTGACATTTTCATTTTCAAAAAGCTTTATATCTGAACGTTTCTTGAATACAAGTACAAAAAACTGAGAATTGTGAATCTCATCTAGATTGTCTTTTGTAACTTTTTTTAAACAGACTTGGTATTACATGACAATACTGTTCAAGGAAGCTATCTGTTCTAATAGGTATTTCATGCTGAAATCAGATATTTTTAAGCTTTAAGAAGTGCAGTTTTCAGTGTTTAATTCTACAAATAGGTTTACATCTAGATTCTAGTGTGAACCCAAAAGAAATGTTAAGTACCAAGTAATGAATCTTTCTCTTTTGATTTGACAGTCGAAGCTGCTCCCTTCTGAGATTCTGCCATCTGCACAGAAAGCGTCAGGATCTCAAAGGGCTTCAAGAAGGTAGGTGAAGGAGCAGTTATTCGAAGAGAACATATCACAGAACTACAAAACTAGAAGCAAAGAACCACAGCTCTTGCACGGCACTCTGATAGTTTGAAATAAGACTTTTTTAGGTGATAAGTAGTTTGATATAAGACTTCTATCAAGTCATAAAACTTAAATGGTTCTTTCAACATTTTTGCATCAGAAAACAGCTGCAATATGGTATATGGAATCAAAGCATCATTTCCTAGCAAGGCTTGACCAGACCAAGCACAAATTTATTTTGCAAAGGCGTAACATACACGGCGTCATGAAGAACACTAATAGAAAGGTGGAATAAAAAGGAGTGCGAGAGTAAATCTACAAGCACACTCATTTTATGCAAAACTTTAAGTTCCCTCTGTCTGTAACAAAATATCTGATATGAATGTCGAAATCTGGAAGCGAACTTTTTTGGTAACTACTTGGAGAATTTGCAATTCATAGGACAATTAAATGCTATGAAATTTAACCAAACAAGAAAACAACACATTCCAGAGGCCATTTGAAGGCAGTATGACACAAAAAGAGAACCATATGTATCTTATATCTCTTTTCAAATCTCAGAGCTAATATCAAAGTTCTGTTTTAAGGCTCCAACCAAAGCACACTAGTCACTGTTCACTTAGCCAAGTGGAGATCTGCCTCTGTAGGATCAGAGATTAAGTTTCCTGCCAGTTACAAAGGAGACTCTAAATGACATTGCTATTCAGACAAATTTTAACGAATTCCTGAAGTTAAATAACATGATTAACTCATGAATGCAAAAGAAAAAATGAATAAGTTTAAAGACAGATGATAAATGAGATCTTTAAAAATTCTAAATTAAACCTACTGGTCCGAATACAATAACAAGGCTATGAGAAAATAAATTGCATTCTAACTTATATTGAAGCATACAGTATACATGCACTACAGCAGTGAAACAAATACTAGGAGCATTAGCCTTTTGTGCAAACGCATGTAAGTAAATTATTTGACTCTCTAAAGATAATCTAGATAGTAACACAGCTTGGACTCACTCTCTCTCTCTCTCTCTCTCTCCTGAAGTATATTTATCATCTTAGAATACATCTCCTACTTTTATCCTAAAGTTTCAAATCGCAGCATAAATATACTCAAATTGATGAATCGAAAATAAATGACAGCAAAAATGTCTCATAAACTTGAGGATTAGTAAATCGATACCATTAAAATTAACGTCACATGTAAAAGGACTTGATCTCTTCACCAATTCCTCAAATTATAAAATTAAAGTTATTCACAGCTCAGATATTGCGAAAATGGATAATAAATTGCCAAATTTCCTCGTTTAAACATTTCACAGTTTGATACGTACGGATGGAATCGAAGTAAAAGCAAAAACAATCCGAATCTGCGAAACCTGGTGAATGTGTACGATCGAATGAAAAGGACGACTTCAATTTCGATTCCCAATGATTTCGAAAGCTTCGAGTTTCGATCGCCCGCTTTTCCTTTGCTTCTGCGTATGCAGAGTGAAGAGAGAACAGTATGTGGGTTTGAAATGATAATTATCCTTTCGCGCCTGAATTGGGTTTATATAGGCGGACATCGGTAGCATGATGTGACAAGGAATGAATTTCAATATTGTACACATTATAGTGCGTGCAGAGTAAACCTGTTAAACGGGCCGGGCCAGCCAATGACACCCGACTTGACCCGGTTCAGCGCGGATCAGCCCGGTCCGGTAGTGATGGGACGGGTTGGGGAGGGTTATGGGTGGAATCGGATGGGGGCAGGCCTTTTTTGGTAAGCGGTGCCTCGGAACCCGGTTAGTCCGGTTACCCACTATCGGGTTTTTACCGGGTTACATCCCGGTTACCGTTAGATAATTTTTTTTAAATTTTTTTTACCGTTGCCAACGGTCAAATTCAAAAATGACCGTTGGGCAACAGCCATTTTTTGCATTTTTGGCCATTTCGGCCTGCCCCTTAAGAAAATAGCCCCCTACAATTAATAATTGATAAATTGTAATTTTCAGAGTTTAAAAATTATAAATAACCCCCCATCTTTTTTATTTTTTCTCACGATTTGCTCTCTTACTACTCTAATTCTCTTTCAATTCTCTCTTGATAATATTTCTTATTGCTTTCAAGTTCTCAATTACTTATTATTTCAAGTTTCATCAAATATTTATTTTAGTCACTACAAAATTATAATTATCAAGTATTCAAGTGAAGTGTGGTATCAATATCATCAAATATCAATTGAAGTGTGATATCAAATTTATTGCGGCATCCGGAATCCAGGTACACTCGTTCAATCTCTTTCTATTCTTTGGTGTATATTTTTATTTTATTATTTAGAATTATTGATTTAGTTTTTTAATTTAATTTACATAATGGATATTTTTAGAGCAGCCAAAAAAGCGTGTACTAGTAGGGTGGTAGTAGTAAGAGTAAAAATCCTAAAAGATCAAGAGGTGGTGCTAGTTCTTCTAGTAGCTTTATACATATTTCTGAAAGTTCACCTGAAAATTTAAATGTAAATTATGAGCAACTTCAAGAAGATAATGGTATAGATGATAATGTAGATGATAATTTAGATGATATTCAATCACTTAATAATCTTGAAACACCACCAACTACACCTGATACTGCTAGTCAAAATACTAGGGGTGAAGGTCGTGGTAATACGGGTAGGCCCCCCCTCCCTATTAAGATGAATAGAAGATTAAGAAGTAAGTGTTGAAATTTTTTTGAAAGACTAGAAGAAGATAAAAATTATGTAAGATGTCAAATTTGTAAGGAAGTATATAAATGTTACACCCTGTACGTCCCAAGGTGACGTATAATAAATATGAGACTTGTTAATCATGATATAAATGAGTTTAAAGTCATAATATGACTATATATGATGTTTGGATAAAACATATAAAGTTTGGAAAAAATCAGATTAAAGTTTCGGAAAAACCAACTAAGGATTTGCCATGTAACAGAGCTTTTTGAGAAATATGTTTCGTGTGCTATATGCGGTCTTTTGGGACATATTATATAACAAATTGAAGGTCTTGGAATGTAGTTTCCAAAGCTCTTAACCATTTCTTCATACGATATCCGGATAAAAAGATATAAATGTCAGAAGATGGGCGAATTAGAGGGTGCCAAGCTAGCACCTTTTGACTTTTCAAAAGTTGTTATATTGATTTAACTCGTCTCTCTCTCTCTTTCTCTCTTCATTTTTACACATAATCTGACCAGAGAACTCCATAAAAAATGGTCCTTGAGTTCTCTAATAGTGCTTCAAATAATACTAACATCCCGGGTACGAAATTGAGAAGCGATAACATCAGAACGATCCCTACGATATAAGTATCGCTATATCGCCTCTCTTTTTCTTTGTAGTTTGAGTTTTGAAATGTATTTAATAGTTAATAAAAATTTCTAATTTCTGTATTTAAGCTTTAAAATATCAAGAAAAGTTGATAAATTTATTTCCTAATAGTTAGACCTCACGGGACGGTGATCGGAAGCCGTGAGTTCGAGTTATTTGACTTGTAGTGGACTGTTTTGTGGGCTGTTTCGTGTTGCTTTTGGGCTGTCTATTGTGCTGCTAATTTATGGAATTTGGAAGGATAAAAAGGGCGTGGAGAAACGCCACATGTGGTAGGGTAATAGGTTGGTCGCTCGTCGTTGTAGTTACAGGCTAATTGATAACTTTTTGATTGAGTGTATTATGGTATATTTAGGGTTTTGTTGTATTGAAGGTCCTAAATTGTAATTAGGTTGGTTTTGAGTTGCTGATTTTATTATGTTTTTATCTTGCCTATAGTAGGCTTGAGGGAGTAGTAAAATCAGTGGAAATATTGCCCGTTTTATTTTAGAATCGAGTTATCGTTTGAGATACGTAATATACTACCACCATCTAAATTGTACACGTATTTCTTTGTTATAGGGTTAGCGCACTAGTTGCCATAAGCTTGTTGTTGAGTTGCATTGACGACTTGAGGTATGTTAAGGCTATCCCTTCTTCTTTTTTTGGCATGATCCAAATGATACAAATGAAATTAGCAAAATACGTAACTTTAATAAATGACTCCATTCATAGAAATACTAGGGGTGTCTATATTCTTGATTTCCCATTGAATTATTATTATATCCTCTATTCATGGGTCTCAGAAAAATATGTATTTTATAAAGTTTGTCCGACAAGCATATTGATTTTATGATATTCGCGAAATCTTATTAACGTATTTCTTATGTATTTCATGCATTTATACATGTACATTGACCCATGACCAGAAGGCGTTATATACGCGTATATTATATGTATATGGGATATGGGAAAAGGTTACGGCATTATATACGCACCACCACCTGATCAGCTGGTATATGTTGATGATTTTGCCCACAATGGCCGAGAT